AGACAGACATGTCTCATCAATCCAGAGGGTGACTGTTAACACCCTATTGAGTCTCTGAGTATAAACAGCTTCTCTGAAACCCGTGAATGCTCAATAACTGTATATCCAGTAGGGAACATTCAGCATGTCTGTTCTTAATGATAGCAGTCAAAAGGCTATTTTCTTTCTGCACAAAGAGGAATTACTAACTAGGCATTCTTTTTTTGCTATTTATTTTTTAGAAAAATAATGTTTCTAAAATCAGTCAATGGCTAGGTTGCAAATGTGCCATTAAAAATTAAGAGTGTTTAAGTGGTTTGGAATAAACTTTGTCTCATTTTAGTTCTTCATTCAAAAAAAGATTAAACTTGAACAGTGGGAAAAAATACTTTAACACTGTGCAAGAATTACTGACCTAATAATTCGATAAAATATCTCTGTAAACAGCCTGGTAAGATACTGATGAAATAATTGATGAAGCTGCCATAGTACATAACATTGTGAAGCCCTTTAAAACGATAATGTTAGATGTACATTGAGTAAAACCAGCAGGTGGGAAGATAGTATGTATCTATGACTCCATTTTTGTAAAAGGAAGGCACACAGGTGTATGTGAGAAAAGACTGCTGCAAACCTATAAGCAACAGTTCTGTTTTGGAGGTGAGCTGATGTATGGTCTTCCCCCTTCTTTTTGGTTAATTGTATGTTAAAGTTTTTCTTCAGTGAGTATAGACGATTTATGTAATAATGAAAAACGTTCTTTGTAAAAGGAACTATTTAAATCCATTTCTATTCTGACCTATATTTTATGGAATTTGGTATTGCCCTCTCAGTGGCTCACTTAAGTAGTGTCTAGCTCAGCTGATAAAACTAGTACACCAAAATGTTAACAGTAGTTATTTTGCAGTACTGGACCAGGAACATTTTCTTCTTGTTTTACTTTCTACTTTTCTGTATTTACTACTTTTTTTATAGGAGCACATATTATTTTTATCATGGAAAAATCTGACTTATTTTTAAGGCAGAGACTTGGGATCATGGCTCTTGGGAAGAGGTCCACACACACTGATGTGTAGCATTTATTGATGAAGGCTAACTCTGTTAATGCTGCATTATTAGAGGTATTCATGCAAATGTCTGCTTTCCCTACTGCACTGATTCTTAAATGAACTCTAAGCTGATCTCAAATTGGCCAGGATCTCAGATTCCGTATTATTTGGAGAGCAGAGGAAGGGAGCTGAGGAATTCAGTGTACTTTTAAGTCAATTAAAATAACACCTCTGGAAGCCAGGCTTGGTGGCTCAGCCTGTAATCCCGCACCTTTGGGAGGCTGAGGTGAGTGGATTACCTGAGCCCACGGGTTCAAGACCTGCCTGGACAACTTGGCAAGACCTCATCTCTACAATAAATCAAAAAATTAGCCGGGCGTGGTAGCACACACCTGTAGTTCCAGCTACTTGGAAGGCCGAGGTGGAAGGATCGCCGGAGCCCAGCAGGTTGAGGCTGCGGTGGCCGGGAGCGGCCACTGCATTCCAGTCTGGGCAACAGAGTGAGACTCCAACTCAAAAAAATAAAATAAAATAACATTTCTGATGTTGTAAGTCTCCATTTAAATTTGGTAAGGGACATACACAGTCTTAAGTTCAAAGTTGTGAGCAGTAGAACCCTGTGCAGTAGCCCTCAGATCATATTCTGAGTGACAGTGAAGAGGGGTGATGGAAAGAAAATTCACCTAGCTTGTGCTTCCAAGACACTTGTCTGAATGGTATCAGTGCATCTCACCAGTGTCTACTAAAAGCGATAGCACTTTAGGAGAGTACTGGCTCCCTCAGTTATTTCTACCAAATGCTGCCAAGATGTCCTTGTGGCCTTAATCAGAAGGTTATTCTGTGTAACTATTTTGGTGCATGTGGCAGTCGATTTAAGAAAATGCTACAGACCTCCCTTTCCACTGGCACAGTGCCACATGACAATAATTACTTTTGATGGTTATTTAGAATGTCTCTTTTTGAAATATGTTCCTAAGTCTGGGCCTAGAGTCCTAGAGCGGAGTCTGTCACCAAGTTTCCTTTGGGCAGTTCTTTAGATTGAGACTAAATTGAATCTACTTTCAATCTGACTAATATCTTAAATTTAATTTAAAACCAACATGCCTACACACAAACCCTCACTCTTGGTGATTCCAGTCACTCAAGTCTACAGCTCAGCAAGGAAACGGAACCTGACACACTGATCCTATGAACAAGTCCCACCAGTCGTTAATGCAAGTTTTTATTTGGCTGTATATACAATTTAAGCTATCAAAATGTGTACAATATTTACAAATTAAATAATCATCTGAAACTGTCATACACACAAAAAACCCAGCATGTCTTGACAAACTGAAAGGAATCTAGAATCATGTGCTACCACATTTTGGCCTGGCCTTTGGTTCGGAAGTGTTGTTACACACAGAAGAATATTTCCTGGAATACTTGGAACTCAGAAAGCTGGTTTTTCTAGTTTCCTTTTTACCATTATTCATCTGTAGAAGGAGTGCCCTTCTTTTCTTTTTTTTTTTGTAAAGTTTTTATTTTTATTTATTTATTTTTGTTAACTTTTTTTCAATATTAAAGATGTGGGGTACAATTTAGGATTAGGTATACAAGTGGTCCTCATACAGGTAAAATTTGGGCCTTCCTTTGGTCCCCACCTTGCCTGGTTTGAGATCAGGTACCTTATTGATGTTGTGTCCCCCCACCCCACCAGGATCTCACTACTGCCAGTCCCTTTTTTATAGTTTAGTAAATGTTCAGAATCTGCTTATGAGTGAGAACATGTGGTACTCTGTTCTTTATTTCTGTGATAGATCACTGTTATAGACTCTAAATCCATCCAAGTTGCTGCAAAGTCCATATATTTGTCTTTCTTTATGGCTGCATAATAGTCCATTGTGTATATGTACCACATTTTTTTTCCAGTCTAGTTTCCATGGGCAGCGCAATTGGTTCCATGTTTTTGCTATTGTGAATAATGCTGCAATAAACATGTGTATGCAGATATCTTCTTTGTAGAATGATTTGAGTTCTTCCAGGTATATTCCAAGTAGGGGAATTGCTAGGTCATTCTTCTTTTCATCACCACCTTTTTTGCTTTATCATCTTGTCTCTTTCTCCTGCAATTATATGATAGGAGTAGTCAAGTAATTCCTCTCTGCATTACTGCTTCCATGGAAGACCATGGGTATGTCTTCCTTTTTCCTGAGGGGAAAGAAAGAGATGTGGGTGAGCCCTTTTACTCAGTGGTCAGATATTCAGTGGATAGAGTATTGTCAGTGAGACTTGTGGTGGGACAGATCCTAGGACATCAGCATGTCCTAGCTGCCAAGCAATTCCAACTGAATTAAATCGAAAAACCCTCTCCTGCACAAAGTATGAGCACAAGTGCATGAAATGCCACACCAAGATGGAACAAACAGGTGGTTAAAATTTGGTTAATAGAATTCTTTGCAAGTTGAGTGACTCAAAGGAAAAAAAGGAAGCATCTTTCTACTTCTTTAGAAGGGATAGAGCAGATAAGGATATATTTTTATGAAACTACAGACTAAGCCGGGCTTGGTGGCTCAGCCTGTAATCCCACGCCTTTGGGAGGCTGAGGTGAGTGGATTGCCTGAGCCCGCGGGTTCGAGACCCGCCTGGGCAGCGAGACCTCATCTCTACAATAAATCAAAAAATCAGCCGGGCGTGGTAGCGCATGCCTGTAATTCCGGCTACTCGGAAGGCTGAGGCGGAAAGATCGCTGGAACCCAGCAGGTCAAGGCTGTGGTGACTGGGAGCGGCCACTGAACTCCAGTCTGGGCGACAGAGTGAGACTCCAACTCGACAAAAAAAAAAAAGAAAAGAAACTACAGACTAAGATAGACAAACCAGGAAAACTATCTGGTGACTGTCAAGAGAAAGAGGGTGTCTTTGGTAAGAGGAAGAAGAGAATGGAACTCAGTTTAAAGATTTGGATTGTGTTTACTTCTTTTTTGTTGTTTTGTTTGTCCACTCATTTGTCTTTTGTTTGTTTTTGTCTTTATTCTGAAGATTAAGAGCAAAAGTAAGAGGCATGAATGTAGTTAATGTAGTGCGGTGGTTAGGAGTTATAAAATAGAGCTCTTCTGTTACAAAGGTTTTAAAAAGAAAGAGTGAGTGCTTTAGACCTGACTTGAAATTAAAGTGGCAGCTGGCACAGGAAGAAGGAATTGCTGGTATGTTCTGTCATTTTCTGCCTTGGCTGCTGTGCAGAGTTGAGTGTCCCTAGGGACTTAGAGGGAGGAGCACCCAGCCATGCACCTCTTTCTGTCAGGCCTGATTTTTGCCATCTCTACTTTGGTTTACATTTGTTTGGTTTTTTCATGATCTTTAAGTCATAGTGTCTTCAGGCCCTGTGAGTCATGTCAGTAACAATTAAATAAATCCAGAATTTTTGCTTAAAGAAAAATTACTCAAAGCCTAATCCAGAAGAAATTTTTCTTGATTAGGTATAAAAGCTTGGCATTACTATATTAACTGTTAAGTATTGAATGATAATTGTTTAATGTTTAATTTTTATTGTATTCTGAGAGGAAATGGTCTTCAGCAGGCAATGGTATAAGAAAGATTTTATCTTCTGTCTCCCTACTAAATACTAAGCAATGAACTTCTAAAAACTCAAGCTATCAAATTGGATCCAGCTATATATAAGAGCAGTACAGGTGTAAAAGTATCTTTTTTAAAGGCAATCCTGGTTACTTTTTAAAAAAATTATACACAGTGAAATTCACTTTTTCTAGGGTACAGTTCTATGAGTTTTTACACATGAGGATATGGAATAATTCCAGCTTTTCAAAGAACACTCTCATGTTGTCAGTATGTTCAGACCCTCTCTTCACTCCTCACCCCCTGAGTCCTAGAAGTCATCTTCAGTCACAGTCACATTCATGGTAAAGGGTGAAAGCTAATTCGCTAAGGGGGCTTAAGACAATGCTTGACCAATAAGTGGCTTGTGCTGTCCCACAGGTGATCCCAGCAAGCCAGACTAAAATACAGAAACCAGGGGGAAAATCTGAGCAGAAATAGCAGTAGCCGCACACTGTGGGGTAAGTAGACATCACCGAATCTGTTCAGTTAGATACCCAAATAGCAACAGCAAACCTCTGGAGTGGGAGTTTCAGTCAGCAGAGTTGCTACAATTTATTATTTAGAAGATACAGTTTTCAACAAAAAAAATTATGAGATATGTAAAGAAACTGGATTGTATGAAACATACACAGAGTAAGGGGTGAGACAATAGAAACTGCTTATGAGGAGGCCCAGATATTGAACTTAGCAGTCAAAGTCTTCAAAGCAGCCACTATAAATATGTTCAAAGGCCAAAGGAAACCATGTTTAAAGAATTAAAAGCATAATGGCAGATTTATCAAATAGAGAATATCCATAAAGAGAAATTATTTTAAAAGAACTGCACAGAGATATAACATGAAAAACACAATCATCAAAAGGAAAAATATTGGTCTACATCAAAATTTAAAATTTATATACATCAAAGGTTATCAAAGATTGAAAAGACAACCTACCAAATGGAAGAAAATATTTACAAATCATACAGCTGATAAGGTGTTAGTATCCAGAATATATAAAGAACTCTTACAACTCAACAGCAATAAATACAAATAAACTGCTTTAGAAATGCACAAAAAACTCGAAGAGATATTTCTCCAAAGAAGATATAAAAATGGCTAACATATATGAAAAGATGCTCAAAATCACCAATAATTTGAAAATCAAAACCACGATGAGATATCATCTCACACCCATTAGGATGACTACTTTATATAAAAAAGAAGCCAACAGAAAATAACGTGTTGATAGACTGTTGAGAAATTGGAACCCTTGTGCACCATTGGTGGGAATATTGAATGGTGAGGCTGCTGTGGAAAAATCATGGCAGTTCTTCAAAAATTAAAAATAGAATTGCCATATGATCCAGCAATTCCACTTTTGGGTATAACTCCAAAGAATTGAAAGCATCATCTCAAAGATATATTTGTATACCCATTTATAGCATTATTCATGATAACCAAAAGGTGGAAGCAACCCAAATGTCCATTGGTGGATGAATGGATAAATAAAATGTGACATGTACATGCAATGAACTATTACTCTGTCCTGAAAAGGAAGGACAGGCCAAGTGCAATGGCTCATGCTTGTAATCCCAACACTTGGAAAGTCAAGATGGGGGATTGCTTGAGCCCAAGAGTTCAAATCAGCCTGGGCAACATAATGAGACCTCACCTCTATTTTTAAAAGAATTAAAAATTAAAGGAAGGACACATGCTACAACATGGATGAAACCTGAAGACATGCTAAGTGAAATAAACCAATCACAAAAGGACAAATACTATATGATTCCACTCATATGAGGGACTGGGTAGTGAGATTTATAGAGACAGAAATTTTAATGTTGGTTGCCAGGGGTTGGGGAGAGGAGAGAATGGGGGTTTACTGAGTACAGAATTTCAGTTTTACAAAAGAAAAGAGTTCTGTGGATGGATGGTGGTGACAGTTGACAATGTGAATGTACCTAATGCCACTCAACTATACGCTTGAACAGTGCTAAGATGATAAATTTTGTTTTGTGTATTTTACTAGAATTTTTTAAAGTTAAAAAAAAAATCCTTCTGGGCGTGGTAGCTCAAATCTGTAGTCCTAGCACTTTGGGAGGTGGAGGCGAGAGGATTGACTGAGCTCAGTGGTTCGAGACCAACCTGGGTAACTTGGCAAGACCTCATCTCTACAATAAATCAAAGCAATAGCTGAGTGTGGTGGCAAGCACCTATAGTCCCAGCTACTCAGGCAGCTGGGGCAGAAGGATTGCCCAAGCCTAGGAGGTTGAGGCTACAGTGGCCGTGATTGAGCCACTGCACTCCAGCTTGGGTGACAGAGTGAGATTCTGACTCAAAAAAAAAGAAAAGAAAGAAATCCTGTAGCTGAAATGTACAGTAATCAAGATGAAAAACTCTACTTTACTAGAGGGGCTCAATGTGAGCTGGCGGAAGAAAGAGGCAGCCAACAGTTGAGGTGTTGCCATCTGAAGAACAGAAAGAAAGAAGAATAAAGAAAAACAAACAGAGCCACAGAAATGTAGGCCACCCTTCAGTGCACCGACAGGAGTCTCAGTGGGAGAAGAGAGAAAGGGGCAGAAAAAAATTTGTAAATTTTTAAATAAAGAATACTCATTTTAAATTTTCAGATAATATTTTAACTTTCCAAACTTGATGAAAAACACCAATCTATACATCAAAGAAGCTTAACAGACTCCAGATAGATTAAACACAAAGAGATCCACATCAAGACATTATTATCAAAAGTTGGAAAGATAGAGAAACTCTGGGAAGCAGCAAGAAAGAAGTGCCTGCCTAGGGGGATGGAACTCCAGTAGTGTCCACGCCGACTGCTTTGGAAGCCAGGAGACCAGAAGGCAACAGAATGGCATATTGTAGTGCTGGAAGAATCCTATATCCAGCAAAGTTATCTTTCAAATGTGAAAGCAAGATAAAAACACTCCCAAGCAAATACTAACCGAGGAACTCCATTGCCAGCAGACCTGCTTTGCCAGAAATATGAGAGGAAGTTCTTCAGGCTGAAAGGAAATGACACTAGACAGTGATTTGAGTTCATACACACACACACACACACACACACACACACTGGTAAAGGTAATTAAGCAGGTAATGGTAAACGACAACATTTCTTTTTCTTATCTTAACTGATTTAAAATATCATGAAGGCCTCACATGTATCCCACAACTCTAAAATAAAATATTATGAAGGAGCAGCTTATATCTGCTTGCTTTCTAGTTACTAAAAGAAAGTGCTTTACGTTCACATCAAAGAATCCTCTCTAGCCCCAGGCTTTCTGAAGGAAAAATGAAGGCAAGGGAAGATTTTCTAGTTCCTGCTCTTTTTTTGGCTTTCGAGGTCTTTTAGTTGTACCCATGTGTGTCTATCACCCCATGAATGTACCTGGAGAAATTAACTGATCTCCCTAAACAATTCATGCAGTAAGGAAGGGGTGAGGAGAAAAATCAGTGATTCTGATGCCTGGATCACCCTCACCCCCTTTATTGGCATGTTGGATGGGAGAAGGGAGGGGGTATGATTGTCCTAATGGTTCGGGGATGCAGGGGGCTGGGGGAAGGGCTGGGGAGAGGGCAGGGAGGAGGAAAGGCCAGGCTGGAGGTGGGCCTGGTGCTACCCCTCACAGTTCAAAGGGCTTGCTCTGGTTCAGGTTTACATGGCTTTCTTTGGTCCAGATGTTGGCCCATGCTTAGTCCTGTGCTCTGTTTGAGTGTTGGCCTGAAGGACTTCCTGTGCTGTGCCGTGGTGGGGTGAGCTGCGTGGCCCAGATGCTCTGTGGCTGCATGTAGGCCAGTGAGTGGAACACCTGCTGCATGTACGCCATGGGGTCTAGAAGGCCAGGCCCAGGTGCTCCCACATGGGCCAGATTTCCACTGTCTGGGAGCCCCCAATGTCAGGTCCACTTGGATCATGGTGGCTGCCAACCTGTAGACCACCCCAACCCAGACTTCATCACACTGCACACTGCTCTCTCAGATACACCAAGGGGCCGCATCCCGTGCATAGCCCCCACGGCCCCTCCTCCCAGAGGCCTGGATGTTGAGCTCTAAGATAGTTTGGAGAGTATGAACCACAAGGAAGATGATCTTGATCAAAGAAATCTTATAAACTGTCTTTTCTCTTATGCATTTTAACTGCTATTCCATTTCTTTGAAGGTAATGTCAAGTCAATCCTTATAGTTTCTTAATTTAGTGAAAAGATTTCCATCTCAGTAATCTCCATGGGAGATGAGAGGGACTGCTAAATTTCCACCTGACTTACCAATCACATGACCAATTTTGTGACTTTATTGCCTTGTTTAACCTGTTTATTCTACTTATTTGGCAAGTGACTGGTGGAGTTCAATCAAAGTTCCCAAACTCCTGATGAAGCACCTTGGAGACTTGATCAGGTTCTCCTGCATAGCAAGAGAAAGAGGCTAGCTGGATCAGCTTAATAGTCATTTGTCCTCTGCTGCTTGTTCTGCTGCCTAAAAACTATTGCCTAAGAATCTCTGGAATGAGAACAAGAAATAGAGGCTGTAAGTTGAGTGTGAAAAATAGTTAAGATAATAATCTTTATTTATCAACTCTTCTATTTATATTAATGCTGCACTAATAAAAAGAATGTGTGGCAGTATCAGGAATCAAAGTTTCATAAGTCCCATCCATATTTTTATTGCTCCTCCAATAGAATCAGAACAAAGTTAGCAAATAAATATGTAGGAACCAAGATATCTATTTTCATACGTGTTTCCGTTTTAAACTGTGGCTGAAAGGAAAGTATTTCCCTAATATAGCTCTTGGAACATAGCCAAACAGTCCAACACTTCAGGGCACAGAATTGGAACAAGTGATTCTAGGTTTGCCATTTGATAAAGTTTCATCTGTTAAGTGATTTGCTCATGAAATCAATCTATTTTTTGTTATGAGTGAAAAAGATACTGGAATATTTGGGGGGAGTCTGTCTATAGTGCATACAGAAAGGGAGAGAAGGCAGAAGGCTTCCAAGCCTTTTCTATCTTGGAGGGGGAGCAGATGTATAAAGCTCAGCTGGTCTTGCCTTGCTTGCAGACAGTACTGTGCCTATAGCACTCCAGCAAGATGCCATCCACTTTAGAAATCTCTAAGGCAGGTCATTCTGCGTTTCCAATGGGAGCTCATTTCAGTGTGCCATGACCCATTCAGCTGTAAATGTTTTTTTCTCCTATCCAAATACAGTCTTTCTCCTTACATGACAGTTTCCTTGTGCTATATCTTCAAATTAGATCAAGAGAGGCTGATATACATTTCCTTATAACAACTTTTTCCATGGACTCGTTAGATTATAAATTTGAAGTGAAAATAATAAACACAGCCTTTCCTACAATTCCCTATCATACCATCAGGCAGATGCCATTTGAACATCCCTGTGGGGTGGTGCTGTACTTCCTGAGGCTGTCTTTCCATGTTTAAAAAATATTTTCCATGTAAGTCATGA